CTCCTCCCGCCCAGGGGTGGGGATTCCCCAGGAGAGGCCCGTGCAGAAGGGCAATGCAGTCTCCCTGGCTCAGCCAGAGCCCGTTTGATGCTTGAGTGCAAATACATCAGCAGCCTGGGATGAGTTGTGCAGTGTTGATGGGGGTGGGAATGGATTCTTGGGCTTTGTTTTACAGGGATCATGTTAACTAGCTGCTGGGATTATAGTTCTGATTAATTCTTTAGTTCAGTTAATTCTTCCTGGACCCTGTCCCAGACAGGCCCAGTGAGAGGTTGAGAACGTAGCTCATATACTTCTCACGTGTGTCTTCCTCATTGAAAAATCACTGGGAATTCATACTATTCAAAGTCTTACATAATGCCTTTCTCCGAGCAGGCAGGGCTGCAGCCTGTGCCTTTTCTCAGGCTGCCTCTGCAGGTGATGCGTGCTCTGGACACACCTGCTTGTCTTGGCAGATGATGTGCTTATCCACATGGGTTCCTATTGTCACACAGGCTGTAAGGTGTAATGTGGCTCTTGGCTTAATTATGTGTGGTTACCCTGTGTGATTGAAAACCACATAGTTGATGCATCCATTAAAAAATGATGCTGTGGAAAACCCTTGGCCGGGAAGAAGTTCAAGACCAGTAAATGAAAAAAAGCACATGATAGGCTCAGATCGCTGGCACTTTCACTAAGTGAACAAAGTAGATAGCACATTAGTAGATATGATATATTCCCACTTTGTTAGAAGAAAAAGTGTGTGTGTGTGTGTGTGTGTGTGTGTGTGTTTCTATGTATAGAAAACAAACTGGATATTGACACACCAAAATATAGGTAGGGTATTTGTATTTCCTGTACTTTCTAAATTGAAGAAGATGCATATTTACTATGCATTGATTCATTTTACCTTATTAAAAACAAAACCTCCTAATTATACATTTCAGTTACTATCTCAAACCCATTTTTCAATGTGTCATGGTATTAAAAATATGTAAGTATATAATTATCTTCTTTCTGATGAGCAATAATATAAGTAGTCGATATGTGGACTCCCTCAGATATTGAGAGACCATAGGTTAAAGGGACAGTGTCTTGACTAAAAAGTAAGTTCTCGGGCAGAAAAGAGGACTAAGTTGTGAGTGGGAGAGTATCCATTTAACTGCCATTTTTCAACTCCCTGTTCAGCATTGATTAGAGGCTCATTCGTACACCTTGGTTTTTGAAATGCTCTTGTTTCAGGTCCTGGTATCCCCATTGTGCCTCATTGTCCCACTGCCTGAACCATTCAGTCCTGGGTCAGCCACAATGACTTCCCCATTCTCTCTTGATATCCAGTGTTATTGGCATCCTTTTCCTTTGCAAAGTAAAGGGCTGTTCTGAGCGCCATGGGGAGAGAAATTCAGTCCAGACAGGACCAAAATCAGTGGTGGTTTTTGCTGGAGACAACCTGCCACAGGTTGTAGCATCATGAACTGTGTCCTGTGGTCAAAACAATTGACCATGATTTGCATGCATCAACTCATTGTTTAGCCTATTCACAGCCCAAATTACATTTTAAGATTATTTTTTAAAACATTGCCCAAACTGTTTTCATGTGTACCAACACACTGCCCAAATTGCTTTTAAAGATTATTTTTATCATAGGGACTGAGGCTGGGTCAGCGTGAAATCAGACCACCTCAGAATTCGTGTGGCTTGGCATGCCACCAGTATCCAAAGCAAAGTTACACCAA